ATTTATGGCATATTAGGTAACACTTGAAACAGTGCTAGAACTAACAAAAAATACATATGTTGTCAAATGTTCAACACATGAAAAGAAAAGAAGTTGCTTTGAATAACTACATATTACAATCAATTCATTGTTGCTCTTCATTAGCAGTATTGTTGCCTCCACTCCCAAGTAAATTGTCGATAAAAGAGGCATTCTCATCTTGAGTATTGTTGTTTGGAGTTGAAATAGGCATGGATTGCATTGGTTGTGTTGTAGGTTGCATGGATGATTGACCTTGCCCATTAAAACCCGGAAACATTGTCGGGTAGTAGGGAGGAGGTTGAGAAGAAGATGCTTGTGGGATACCTCCAAAAGAGATAGGGATCATTGGAGGAACTTGATGGGAGAAATTGAATGTATTTTGTTGAGGAGCCGATGAACCTTGTTGGGGAAAATTATAATTATTTTGGGGAGGATAATGATTCATTGGAGGCATTTGTGGTTGACTACCGGAAGTAGATTGGCCATACCCATGATAGAGAAATGGATTCATCCATGGACCCCCCATATATGCTTGCATGGACCTTGCTCTCTAAATTCCTTCACTTCTTTTCTCAAGGCCTTCAACTCCTCCTTAATAGATTCTTTATCGGGGTCACTTTCTGTGGGGGCACATGATTTTGCCTTGAAAGACCCGGTACGCAAATATTCTGGGCCAAGAGCCCCCACGCCCTTAATTCTTCCTCGGTTGGGTTTAACGGTTTTTATGTAGAGTGCCGTTTTGTCCACTTTTGCGTTCTCCCCTTGGGTTTCCAAAATTTGCTGTTTCGCAAGTTAAGCTTGTCCTGATGATTATATTTTAAATTAATACCAAATGAAGTTTATATAATTAACAGTATATATTAACCAATGAAGTTTATATTAACAGTATATATTAATACCAAATGAAGTTTATATAATACCAAACGAAGTTTATATTAACAGTATGATGTATACAATTAAACTTTTAATGCACAACAATATTTAATGAACACGTACCGCTATCGCTTGAACTCTTGGACCACTCAATTGTCTAGTTTTCTTGTTTGTATATGCATCATGCAATACCTCTTCCGCATCGGGGGTCCTCCCCAATTTTTCCTCCTTTCAAGTTCAAAATACAATATACAGTCTCAAGATTAAAATTGATTAAAAAGTTAAATACACATATTAATTTTTAGTAAAATCTTACAAGCCGTTCTGCTCTAACGACTTCTGAAATTGATCCACCGCAATAAGGAGCGCTCCTACAAGCTTCAGTGTTTGCATTCAACTTATTTGTTTCTCACAGTTGCTTAAATTCTGCTGAATCCCACTTCACGAGCATTCCAGCCCAATCTTTTGGTGAAATCCAAGGCGGGCTTGTATTATTATCACACCGGGCAAGATGAAAACAGTTCTTCAACCATGAAGATATTTTCTTATCGAACTTTTTCCTTGTGATAGTTTTTACTTCACAAGGACGATATGTGTGTCGGCGCTACAAATCAAAGAAAATTATACTCTAAAATATTCAAATGCATTAAAATTTGTAAATTTAAATGTAATATATTACCAAAAAGTCTTGAAACCATGACTCTTTAATGTTTTTTTTGGAACTTTATTTAAACTGATCCAAGAGCCCCTAAATGAACCTTGGACAATTTCTTGAATCAACTCAAGCTTTTCTCGCCTACACATATTTATCAAACATATATATTATACTTACATTTATAATGTTATTGACGTTATTTAAACATATGTATGTTACTTACCTTTCCAAATCACGAATTGTTAGTGGCATGCAGTTTGTTTCCATTGACCCGGAAAAGTAGTGAGAGCCTTCGGATTCATTTTGAGGTGTTCCTTCACTTCCTTCCATGGTGTCTTCTTCCTCCTCGCTCGACGTATCATCCTCGATTAAAGGAGCACCGCCGTCACGGTATGTGGAAAAATTCCCTACACCGCTTCCTTTTTCCATACTCGACCTTTTCCTCGCCATATTAACTATTCCATACACCACCATAATCAAGTACACATAACTAATTTGAGTTTGAATGTTGTATGCACCGTTTTTATAATAATTCTTATAATAATAAACACACTCATAGTAATTAAGACAAGTATTAATCAATTACTCCATCCAATTACATTCTCAGCCTCCCAATTATTTACTTTAACTACTTCCCTGAGGGGAGGAGGACTACTTTCTTGTTTTCCTTTTATAAAAGAATGAATGTCCCTTCGATAAGGGTGCTTGAGTGGTAAGAACTTTTAATGACAGTCAAAGTAACATGGCTTACGTCCATTCTTAAGGTACATTGCTTTGTTACCTTCCATACAAATAGGGCACCCCAAGAGTCCAGTTGTACTCCAACCGGACAACATCCCATATGCGAGAAAGTCGCTTATCGTCCACATTAAAATGGCACGCATTGAGAACATGGTATTTGATGCAACATCATATGTCATCGAACCCTCTTCCGACAAATGGTGTAATTCATCAACAAGAGGTTGTAAGTAGACATCAATTTTCTTTTTTGGACATATTGGGCCCAGAATAATGAGCAAAAAAACAAGTAGGGATATTTCATACACATACCGGGAGGCAGATTGTATGTCGTTAAGATGACGGGCCAACAAGAGTATGATGCACCATATTGTCCATGTGCAGCGAAACCATCAGAGCATAAACCAAGTCGTACATTTCGAGGCTCCGAGGCAAAGTCTGGGTACATCATGTCAATGTGTTTCCATGCCTCACTATCACAAGGGTGTCACATCAAACTCCCAGTTGCTTAATGCATTGCATGCCACTTCATCTCTTCAGCTGTTTGTCGTGACACATATAACCTCTGCAGTCTTGGTGTCAAGGGAAGATACCTCAATACAGAAACAGTTGTCCAATTTCTTCTTTTGGATGTGCATTCTTCTTCCTCCTGCAACTTATATCGATGTTCACCACAAAATGAACAATGTGTTAACTCTTTATCACCCTTCCAAAATAACATACACCCGTTACGACAAGCATCAATATTTATCACCGGAAGACCCAAGTTGGAAGTAAGTTTTTTGGTCTCATAGTAATTCCATGGGGCAGTGTGGTTACGAGGTAAGTATCGTCCGAATAATTCCAACCACCGATTTACTTCATCCCGAGGCACATTAAAGTCAGATTTAATACTCATTACCTCAGTGACAAATTGTAATTGCGAGCCTTCTTGACATCCCTCATATAAAGGTTGATCTGCTGCTTGTAGAACATCATGAAATTGGTCTGCAAATAAGACACGTCATTTACATTTGGAGAAACACTATTATAATCATGACATGTGGTTTGTGGAACACAGTTTGTGGTGTCCACCAGCGGCACATATCCTGCAAAAATATCTCCAAGCATTCTTTGATCCCAGGGTGTTACGAGTTGAGTCCCACTAGCTGAAGAAATATGGGCAACATGACTTTCATCTCCTTGAGATGAGGAAACTTGGTTCTCCAATAATGGTGGTGCTTGAAATTGCACTAACTCACCATGAGATGTCCAAATATAATAATTTGCAAGGAATCCATGTCGAAACAGATGAAGTTTGACAGTTTCTGTGTCATAGAAACGCCGATTTTTACATTTTTGACATGGACAACGAATGTCTTCTTCACTCATAAACTCATGTTGAACTCTAGCAAATTCAACAAAACTCTTTACACCACTGATAAATCTATCATATACATTTTTTGTAAATGGATCGCATCTCTCATACATCCAACTTCTATCTGTACTGAACATTTTTCTAGACTTCGGGATTTTTTTTCTTTGAGTGCTTGTATGCAATCTATATACAGAAGATCGTTGTGGAGAAGAAGATGAAAGCAACGGAATAATGACGGAATTTGAAGAACAGATCATGATGCGACGGTTCAGCTACGGAAACAAAATCTTAATTTTGCGACCGTTTTTGCGACGGTTCAGTGACGGTACGGTCGCTAAGTGGGCGCTGAATTCGTCGTTGATTTGCGACCGTTTTTTCCGTCTCAAAAAATCCGTGGCTGATTGGGTGTTATTTTCTAGTGTCCTTTCTCACCAGAACCGCACCATATATATAGGTATACACACACACATGAAAGATCCTTTGCATCCTTCCGGACAGGATGCTCCGCTCGGCCACCGCCATTTGGGGCGGTCCCTGATGGAATTTTTTGATAAATTTTTTTGAACATGTTCTTCATCAAGTCTCATTTATCTACATCAAATTTCAGCTTAAAATCAATCGAGAAGGCGGTCATATAAATTTATGAAAATAAATGCGTTTTATATGTTTATTTTGGCGCAGTTATTATCAAATAATTATTTGACTGCTTTCTTTGTTGAATTTTAATCTAAAATTTGGTATGGATAAACTAGACTTGATGATGAAAATGCTCAAAAAAAATCATCAAAAAGTTTCACTAGAAACAACCCCAAACGGCGACGGCGGGACGAAGGTTCATATCCATCCGACTGAATAGGATCATTTCTCATATATACTACCTCCATCCCGGAAACAAGTTCCCGGGTTGACTTTCACACATTTTAAGGAAATAAAGTTACAGAGGGGTAATTTTTACTGTTTTGACACTATTTCGACACTGTTTGACATTGTTTGGCATTGTTTAACTGTTCTGATGTAGATTAATTTGCCAAATAAGGAAATGTGAAGTTTATTTTGGGACATCCAAATAAAGAAAGTGGGAACTTGTTTCCGAGACGGAGGGAGTATATGATACTCCCTCCGTCCCTTATTACTTTGCCAACTTTCCTTTTTTGGATGTCCCACTAACTTTGCCACTTTCCCTTTTAAGTAAAGAATTTGTGGTTCAAGTTAATTCTCTCTCCTCTGCACAAACCTCAACCACACAGTTTTTACTTTATTAATCCTCGTGCCGGTCAAACTTGGCAAAGTATTAAGGGACGGAGGGAGTACTATGATAGGAGTGCTCTATATGTATACACCCACACATGTGGCATCTTCCAAAAAAAATACATGAGGCATCTTACATAGCTTCACATTCATAGGGATAGGGATGTACGTACTACGTAGTACTTCGTATATAATTAACGACCCAATTTATGTAACCGTAGAGATTTGAGGTGATACAAAAGAAAAACTCGCATAAGTTTACCGGCATAAAAAACCGGCAAATGGTGATCAGAAATTCATATGGGACCTCGCCTGAAGAGAAAACTCATTTTCTATTTTCATATAATTTCCCAATCAGCTCAGCGGCCAGACACAACCCTCCCCGGACACCCCAATATGTTCCGCATTTAATTTCGAACTTCTTGCTTAAGGAGGGTTCTTTTTCTCGATCTGGCCATGCACAAAACCTTGATCGATGGAATGTAGATTGGTAATTTTTTGTTCTTGCCTTTGTGCTTTGACGAGTTCAGCAGGGTCCAATTCGTTGGGAGTTTTTCTCGTTTTTGTGTGCCACATTTCAAGTTTAGCAGTGCATTTCATGATTTTTTATTATTACATAATAATGGCCGGGCTCTGCCGTTGATGAACTCTACGTGTGGATTACTTAGAATTACAGAAGTGATTAATTCAGTTATTTCTGAGTGGTGTGCAATCATATATGTAATATATGTGATTCTTGCTTCAAAGGCTTGATATTTGTCCCCTCTCCTAAGCAAGGAGGATGCTTTTCAGGTTTTGGAGTCATTTCTGTAATGGTAATGAATGTTTTGAGTGGATTTCAGTTTTCATATTCAAGAGCAAATGCATATCAAAACAGTTGTTCTGTGTATGGTTCCTGTACTTCTATGTTTCGGTATGGGGGCAACAAGCAAGACGAACATGAAGCATGCAGAAGAGGATTTACTGGCCACTCTAGTCAAATATGGAGGGATAAATCATGACCAGGTAGTACTTGTACTTGGGTCTTCAGTATGCATGCTCTAGTTATTGTTGAATATCTTCTATGTTTATAAATCTTTTGTGACTAAGGCTTGGATGTTGTTTTTGTTGCTATTGAATTGGAGAATAATTGCATGTTTTCTTGTTGCTGATTGATCACATTAAGCAGCATTTGTAATCAGATTATCAATTCTAGAAGCTGCATATCCATTTTCTAGCCATTTGTCATTTTTACGAAACCGAAATTTAAGTTTACGATGATATAGGCACGGTTACACTTTTGTTTTTCAGCCCCAACTCATAATGATCCACCTTGCCCCCTACAAACCTCCACAATAACTTGAGTTTTGCAGCATATCATGCACTTTCGTGGCTTTTACTTTCTATAGCTCTGATAAACAGGTTATCAGTTGTAGTTGACATGAACGACTAATGAAATCAAAGCTAAAAAAGGTAACAAATATAAAAAAGATTAAAAGATAAGATAAGATAAAAAGAAAGGTAAAGAGGATAAGAGGTAAAAATAAAAAGGTAACGATAAAAAAGATAAAAAGATAAACATAAGAAAGATAAAAATGTAAATAAAGATAGAAAAAATAAAAAGAATTTAATCCTCCACCCGAATATGCCGCCTCCACTTCACTCTCTTCAAAGTCATACTCTCATCCAACCCAAGAAGCCAATAAACGAGGATGGTGCTCAACTGCTCAACTGAGCAACATGTTCTTTGATGTTATTGCTTTATTCTTTTGTTACATGGCTATTGGAAGGTGCACCTCATCAAGGCAACCTCCAGGACATGTTTTTTTCCAATCACCCTTGTTGCCGGAAAAGTAATATAAGAGAATTCTTTTTAAAAAATAATCCAAACAGATCCGAAAAATCCAAAGAGGAAGATGGTTTGGATGTCTCCTTGACGAGACGCACCTCCCAATATTTTTCTTATAATTTTTTGGACATTTTTTAAATCAAAGTTACTGTTCATCTTCTTCCTCCGGTGATTTCTGACGGCGTTAGCGCTAGGCCCCTGGTGTGATAATAGAATTGAAACACATGACTTACTTTGTTAAGAAATGAAACACAAAACCCTATTTGAAAATGGGTCCTACCACAGGTACCTTTTCCGTAGTTTTCCCTTTTTGTTTTTCAGAGGCCAACTCTTATGAAACTATGATAGGCATCTATTTGGTAAGGAATCCTCTTCAGGACTGAAGATGATCATTGGATGAGAAAGGGAGAGAGGGGAGAATAGAGTGGGTGGGGTAGGCAGCTGAGTAGAATAGAGAAAAAGACAGAGAGACAAGAGAGAGAAAAGGAAAAGGAGAAAAGGAAATGGACAGGAGTAGGATACCATCTATTAGGATTTATGGGCTCATCATGGAGGAACTCTTAATTTAGCAGTTTAGCCTCTATGATGTGTGAGCAGTTTGTAACATTAACCTGTGTTTCTAGTTTCTACAAGAAGAATTGGGATTATACTTTGGCCTGATTTGGGAAAACATAGCTAGTCTGGTGACTTGATAAATGACAACACTTCAGCATGACGAGCAAAACCAGCATGCCCTGCCTCTCTCCTTTTGGGCTCACATAGAAGTGTTTCCTCTAGTGTTTAGAGCCTCAACCATATAATAGCTTTATTGATGTTTACCATATCCCAATCCAATCATGTTTATTTGATTGCCCCCATATCCGTTTTTGAATTTAGAAAGTACTTGATTATCTGATAGTAAAAAATATCTCATGGAAATGCCAATTGTGTTTTGTTGTTGTCACCTTTTTAAAATAAAAGGGAAAACATTGGGGAGAACTTGGAAATGCCAAACATTGGGGAGAACTTGGAAAGAGTGAGAAAGGGGCATAAATTAGGAAATAGAAGAAAAGATTAATAATTTTTTTAGTAAAAATGGAAAGAGGAAGAACTTTTGAAGATGGTAAAAGGAGGAAAAAACATATAGAGAAGGGAGTATTTATTTCAATTTTGCTTCATAAGTTGTGCACTCGTTTCGGGGTTGACTTGTTTGAAAGGAAGTGGAACAAATGAAATGCATCAATTATTTAATGAATGTGTTTTGCTGCAGGCTGAGTTAATATGGTTAAACTGTAGGATAGAGTTGATCCATGCCAAGGAAGTAGCAGAAAATTATGAATTTAATGCTCAAGTGGATAAGTCTACAGGGAACACGGAAGCAGTTTCTCATGGCAGGCCATCTATGAAACCACAAACGCAAGAATTTGAAAATATCTTGCACCCATTGGCTAAACAACCCCTTCTGGATTGTTTAAGGAAGAAAAATCTCATGTTTCTTGTCCGCTGTGGCAAAAGTGTTCCAAGAACTTGGTACAACAGGTGTTTGGACTTCTTGTATGCGAGACATTGTGCTCCTAAACGACAATATGTAATTCATAGCTATGAAGAAGAACAGTCTCATGAAATTCTTTCAGTGCAGCCTTTCATTCCACGAAAACTTAGTGACACTGCTGTTGTCAAACGTTCTAAAGCAAGTTCGAACTCAACTTTAAGAGCATCATCAAAGAATAAAACTGGCAAAAGAAAAAAATCAAGTTCTGTCTCGGTTGCTGTGCCTGCTGCAGTGACATTTGTTATGGTTGCCTTGCTGTTTATATGTTGTGTTAAGATATGCAAGAGTGGATCTGGAAATGGGCAGACTGATAAGAGGCCTCTTCTGAGCTTAAGCTTAAGTGACTATTCTGGCGGTAAATTTAAATTTTAATATTTCATTTCTGACTAATTCCTTGTTCATTATGGACGATTTATGCTTCGTACTGATCTTTCTCTTCCTTCAATGTTTCAGTCTCCTCACAGAAGTCGTTTTCTTCGGACAACTCATTAAGTAACAAAAAAAGTTCATTTGACAACAGCTTTCATGATAAAATGGACTGTAATCTTTTCATGGAGTCACGTACACTCAATAACTCTAGAAAGAATATCCCAGTGGGACCTGGTTCCTATCCTGCCACCGTGATGGATAATTTTGTTCTGGTAGAATCTGGAAAGACAGGAAACACTGGACTGCCTCCCTTAAAGCCACCGCCTGGTAGGGTAGTTCTGCCATCCCATCCTGCTATGACTGCTCCTGCAGCACCAACCCCTCCACCTCCCCCTCCACCTCCCCCTCCACCTAAAGCTGCACCTCCTCCTCCTCCAGTAATTCCATCGTCTAGTGGAGGGCGTCCACCACCACCCGGGCCACCTCCACCACCGGGTATACGTTCAGGTGGCAAGATTGGTCCTTGCCCCCCACCACCTCCAGGTGCTGGTGTTCCGCCTCCACGTGCCTCAGTCCCTGCCCCTCTAATGGGCGTGAGGCCACCTCGGGCACCTCTTGGTCCAAGTTATGAAGATGATGGTCCTAAAACTAAGCTGAAGCCTTTCTTCTGGGATAAGGTTCTGGCCAATCCTGATAATTCAATGGTTTGGCATCAGATAAAATCCGGATCTTTCCAGTGAGTCCGCTTTATGGTTTTAATTTACTTTGTATATGTTGGTAAAGTCATTGATTGTACTAATGTACTCAATGCACAGCATGTGTGTGTGTCTTTTTTTGGTTATAGGTTCAACGAAGAGATGATAGAGACCTTATTTGGTTATGCTGCTCAAGATAAAAATAAGAATGGAACAAAGAGAGACCCTTCAGATGCTTCAATTCAATATATTCAAATTATTGATCACAAGAAGGCACAAAACCTATCAATTCTCTTAAAAGCATTAAATGTGACCACAGAAGAAGTTTGCGACGCTCTTAAAGAAGGTGATTCCTATAATGCACTGAAAATCATGTGATAGTCTATTTGAATTATAGTGTTTCATTTTTGTGTTTTTTTGGAAGTGGAAGTTTATGCATGTCTTTGTTGCTGACTTCACTGTATTAAAGATGTTTCTGAATCGTAACCTTTTATTTTGTTGAACCAGGAAATGAGCTTCCAGCAGAACTACTTCAAACTCTGCTGAAGATGGCCCCAACTGCTGATGAAGAGTTGAAGCTGAGGCTCTATAATGGTGACCCTTTACAACTTGGGTTTGCGGAGCGTTTTTTGAAAGTCTTAGTGGACATTCCATTTGCATATAAGAGGCTTGAAACATTACATTTTATGTGCACTCTTCCGGAGGATGCATCAATGGTTAAAGAGTCATTTGCAACGTTAGAGGTAGGCATTGATTTCGTGATTGCCTTATGAAGGACTTGGAGACCTCCTCCATTCTTAATTTCCACATTGGACTTGCGTGTTGGGAATCTATAGTTTTGTCATTCTTTCTTGAGAAATTTCCCAAATAGCAGTAAGAACAATGTGAAATTCCAAAATATGAGTGCTATGCTTTCCTCCCGAATATGAGTAAGTAAATTATTGTCATGATGAAATCATACTGTCATATTTTGACATTAACAGGACTTAATATGATAATATTATTGTCATACTTGCATGGCACTATTTACCAAACATGACAGTAATTACTCATATTATGGGAATAAACATAACACTCATTTTGGAATTTCACATTGTTTTTACTCTATGTAGGGCGGTTTTCGTACTTTCTTCCTTTACGTTACATTTACGCATTGCAATCCCTATACAACCATGTTAGTAAAATAATCAACAAATAAAAAATTAAAAAATCATTATCCAAAATATCATGATGTCTACTTCTAAGGAAAACATTCCTATGTAAAAGTTCTCCCGAAAACATATATTCTGAGCTAAGTAGCATGGAAATGGGAAACGGGAAACGCGAGAAATGTGATTACTAAAAAATATAGGATATAGAATGTGGGGGAAACGTGTCATTCATCATTATCATTACCTACGGTGGGGTAAGGGTGGGGGAAACGTGTAAGTATTAAAAAATAAAAGGATATATCTATATATATTTTTTTCATATATGTGAACATGCTTTCCATCATTTGCAATAGAACCACAAACTCACTATTTTTTGGCTTGAGAATATGATTGAATAAAGAAAAATGGCTCATTAAACTATTTACGCTTCCTTGTTATGAAGCAGCAGTTAGTACATGCAATTTTCGATGCAATTTTCACTATGGGTGATCCGGAAACAGTCTCTTTGTGCTTTAGTACATGGTAAGACTGCATATATCCGACCCCCCCTACCCCACCGAAGGTGAGAGCCTTTGCGGCACTGGGGTGATGATGATGATGATGATGATGTAAACATGTTTTTCATTTATATATATGCACATATTATTTTCACATGTTTTCCAACACGCATTTGAGTTTCTGAAACGGGGAAACGTGAGCCCCGAAAAGTTTCCGTACTTCATAGATTCTGAGCTTATTAGATCTCAAAATAGTAAATCCAATACCGGTGCCCTACCCAATATACATTATCCACTGGAAGAAAAAAACAGAAACTTATGTAGTTCAAAAAAGTTTAAGCTTCTACTAACTAAAAACACAATTTTGGTGACACCATTTGTGTACTCTTTTCTTTCTCCAATCAGACTTGTTATCTGTTTTAAGAATTGACTTTCAGATATCCATGATAACCCTACTGAAATGATAGATTGATGGTTCTATGGTAGGCACTCATACTTGTGATTTACTCTGTACATGATATTTCTGGAGTCTTTGAGGGCCTTCATCTATTTCTTTCTGGATTGCACTGCCTTGACTTTTCGGTGCAAATGTCTTCTGTCAAATATTCACCATTTGTCTTTCATCATTTTTTAAAAAACCATAGCATGATGCCAGGCTCATTATCTTTCTTTCCAGTACATACAAGTCGATTCACATGAAGGCTATTATCATTCTTTAATGTCCCTATCAACAAGTCTCTGATCTTGGTGGTGTCAATTGTGCACCGAAAAGTAGTTCAATTCATGTCATGAAAATATATTAGGTGTTTGTCTCATGCTTATCCAGGCTGCTTGCACAAAGCTACGGAAAAGCAGGCTGTTCCTCAAACTCCTGGAGGCTGTCCTAAAAACTGGCAATCGCATGAATTCTGGAACATACCGTGGTGGTGCACAAGCATTCAAATTGGACACACTTTTAAAACTATCTGATGTGAAAGGCAAAGATGGGAAGACAACCCTTTTGCACTTTGTGGTTAGAGAGATAATCCGTTTGGAAGGTTTACGGGCTGCCCGTGCATCCAGGGAGCTAAGGAGCATGTCCAGCATCAAGTCTGATGATCTCTTACTTGAATCTCCACAAGATTCAGAAGAGTATATTCTAAGCCTCGGTCTAGAGGTCGTGTCAGGTCTGGGTAGTGAGCTTGAGTATGTCAAGAGAGCTGCTCTCATAGATGCGGATAACTTAACGGGAACAGTTGCTAAGCTTGGCCATGCAGTATTGAATGCCAAAAAATTTCTAAGCTCAGAAATGAAGAGTGTGGATGAAGAGCAAGATGGGTTCCTTGAGACACTAGAGAATTTTATGCAGAGTGCCGAGGGAGAAGTGAGAGAGTTACTTGAACAAGAGAAGCATATCATGTCTCTAGTGAAGAGCACAGGCGATTACTTCCATGGAAATGCAGGGAAGGATGAAGGTTTGCGCTTATTTGTCATAGTTCGCGATTTTTTGGTAATACTTGACAAAGTGTGCATAGAGGTGAGGGCTACACATATTAAAACAAATAATAAATATACAAAGCATGTTGTTGCTCCTTCAGAACCCTACCCGTCTCCTGATCTTCATAAAAAACTTCATTCCGCCGCAATTAGTGAAAGGCAGTTGGTAGATAGTTCAAGTTCTGATGATGATGAATGATGTTTTTTGTCTTTTTTTACATGAAGTGTTACCTTGAGATATGTTGACTTAGATAGGAACCTGTCTTGAACAGAGGTTTGAGATGGTGTAGTTATCAAGTGCTAATTCGTTGTAAAGCTGATAGATGGTATATTGGTATGTATATTGTTGTAGCTTTGTCTATTTTGATCTAATAACCACTTTTGTAATCATGGACCAGTTTTGGTTGTAGCTGTTTAACTCTCCTACTAGATTGTTATTGGATTGGATGACATAGGTTGTGCATTCTTCCAGCAACCATCATTCACTGGCATTGTTATTTGTCGCAAGTGTCGATCTCAGCCGAGTTTATAATATAGTTATCATGTTGTTTTAAAAAAGCAGGAAACTGTTCTTTAAATCTAAGAACAACTTTAATTTATAAGTACTATTCCAACGAATACTCAAATCTTTAGGAAAAACAACATATCTCACACCTCTTTCAGTCAAATAAGTTTGCCATTTTAATCTAAGTTGACCATTACCCCAAATACGTCTACCCCCCTTGACTACCTCCATAGCATCTCCTAACGCTTTTAGACTGTCTTGCACACATAAATTTATAATATGGCATGCACAGCGTTGATGAAAAAATCTACCAATCAAAGTATTGGCACCACACAATTCACGCAATCTAGGTATAGCAGCAATATTATTAGTAGCATTATCGAAACCAATAGCAAACACCTTATCAATCAAATTATACTCAATTAAAATACGCTCAATCAAAATATAAATATGTTCAGCGGTGTGACGATCATTAAATTCACGAAAAGCAAGAACATGTTTATGCATATTCCAATCCTCATCAATATAATGTGCAGTCAGACCCAAATAATTTAAATGATGAAAATTATCCTCCCATATGTCAGAACAAATAGTAACACGTCCATCAAAGTTTGCAAAAAAAAATTGTAACCTTGCCTTTTCCGCTTTATAAAGCCTTATAATTTCTTTCTTAACAGTTTTGCGACTATAACCTCTAAATTGAGGATTTAAAGTACCGCATGCATAATCTCTTAAAGCAAGACTTTCAGAAAACATATAAGGCAATTTTTCTTCACAAATTAAGTTAGCCATACCAGTCAAATTTTGTGCATCATTTTATGAAAAATTACCAAAAGGTTGAGAATTCGCAAACCTCGATATTTGAGTTTGCTTCCTCGTTCCGCCGCCTAATTTTGCATACTCCACGGGGTGCTTCGCCTTAAGATGCCTTGCGGCGGATCCGTATCCGCCGGAGGTCCCCAAGCTATAATTTTTGTTGCACCACTTGCAAGTTGCGTGCCAATACCCGGTTTGTGCGTCCTTCCACTTATCAAAATTATTTTTCATTAGTTCAGATTTACTTTTTTTATTACCGGTGGCGGTTTGGGATGAGGCAGGCTCGTCGGCGTCGTGGCTGCCGCCACCCTCCTCCTCGGCCATCCCCAGTTCCATTTCCTCCGCATCTTCATCCTCAAGTTCATCTTCGTCAATGGTCGTCGGGATTTGTTGTTGGAGAAAGCGGTTATTATGTCGGGCCAATTCTTGTTGTAGTTGTTCTTCGGACATCGCATCTCCATCCTTCCTTTGGTAACCCGTTTCAAAATCATCTCGGCTTTGAGATGAAGAGTCGGCAAGTTCTTTACCTTTGCGGGATTTCTTCCTCCCAATCTCGTTCCTTCGGTTGCGCTCGAGGTTACCCAAATCAACTGAATATCTACCACCTTCCATCTTAAAAATGTAACAAATATTAATTTGCAACAAATATACTAATGAATACAAAAGTAATGCAACTAATTAAAACTATTTAAATTAAAACTTCAAACTAATTTAGTGAAAACTACTTTAATAAAATGTGAAGTACTTTAATTAAGTAGTGAATTAAATTATGACTCTAAAATACAAATTAAAATTCGAACTAATCAATAGTATTTTTTAATAAATACTTAAAACTAACAAGTGTGACTTTAACTAAAATGTGAGTAATTAAATTATAGCAACTTTTCAAGTACTTTAATTTAGTGAGAACTACTTTAATACAATGTTAAGTACTTTAATTAAATGATTGAACTACTATTTTTTCGTTCAAATATAAATTCAAACTATTATAATGTGACTTTAACTATAATGACAATTAACTAGTTTTTTAAAGTTGAGTTGTTTTAGCAATTAATGGGAATACTAATTAACTAATTAACTAGTGTAATGAAAAATGTAACAATTAATGGGAATACTAATTAACTAGTATAATGAAAAACTAGTTTTTACCCGGGCGTTGCCCCTAGCAAAAGTTGTGAATGTTTGAATACTTTATAAAATATACGGAGTATATTTTATAGAATATAAAAATAATTAATTGTTTTACTTCAAATAAATTTTTGTTGATTGTGAATAGTAATTTATCTAAACAGAATATATTAAAAATTGACATTGTAATGTAACACTGCACATTACATTGTATCCAAACGTCGCATTATTAGGTTTAAATTGGGAAACCTCTTTATAAACGACATTCAATCATCGTCTTAGTGAAGAAATTTGTTTCTTTTGAACATATGAATATCTTAAGATATATTTACGCATTACTCTTCGTATCGTATTACAATGTACAATTGATCATTAATGAAACTTCTCTTTCAAGGTATAAATCATATTTTATGTGAGACCTTTTTTTTTGGCAAAATTTAGCCTTGACTTTTATTGATTATCATTGCAAAGCTTACCATCACAAGAAATTGCTTTATTCGAAATTGAATAAAGTTGTCATATGGTGACAATGAGATTTTTAATAAATAAATTTTATCTTTGGTAACTTTTCAAATTATGACTTGTCATACTTGTTTTTCATTGGTTATGACCAATTACATTCTATTGAATAAAACTTATGCATGATTAATACTCGGTATTCCCCGATAACATTATCGGGGCTCCGATTTTCAAATGAAGGACTTGGTTGGCCAATCCAACCATTGAAGCGCTATTAAGATCATATTCGACATTGTGCATATCAACATGGAAAGTAGTATCGGTGTGTGAAGGAATAATATTAATTGAACTAATATATGTAACTCCTAGGCCATCGATCAACGATAGCAAGTAGTTAGTTACTCATGATGTTTGTTGGCGTAACGTCTAAAACCTTAGAACATGCCTCGTATATCAGCACAACTTCATCCCATATTCAAAGAGGCGGCATGCAACAATTTTGTCTTCACACTTCCTTGATGAATATTGTAGGTAATGCGACAATATTTATGGGAATAGGAAATTAAAAGATGAGTTGGAATTAGCTTTAGAAGACGTATAGATGGAGTTTATTTAACAATATATATGACTAATAATAATTACTTGCACTGTGCATTTTCTACAAATTTTAAGACCTCAACGTGCTCTTGTGATTCCATTTGTTGGAATAAAATGACACAAACTCAATATATATATACTAAACATGTTGATTTTTACACTAATCGCACATCCTACTTTGGTTATATTTTATTCATTAATGTATTAGACATTTTTGAAAGAAAAAATGTAAAATTTTAAAATAAATGAGAAATTTATATCAATTAGTTTTTCATCGTTATATCTTATGTTTAAAATACACAGACATTTTCATCGAATATTTTTCAACAGAAACTATTGTTTTAATTGGGTATCCTATCAGGAAAACTAATTCGATCGGGACGTCAATTAAAAAAATTATTGAAAAAACTACGTCAAAATATTTATATATAAAATGCAATACTTTTCAATAATGTATTTAACTGACTTATTAATCGAATTTTAAGATGAAATTTTGTGAACATAATCTAAACCTCATGAAGAACATGCTAAAAAAATCATGTAGACGGCGGTTCTACTCCGGAATTCCGGGGGTGAACTTTTCTCCTCCGTAATATATATAAATACTATGAATTTAGGACTTAATTGCAATTAATATAATGAATATTCACTATTTGGACTCAATAGTAATCAAATGAGTAAATACTATGAATTTAGGACTTAATTACAATTAATGACTTTATTAGTTGGACTCAATTAATGAGTAATTCACTAATTGGACTCAATAGCAACTAATTGAAAATTCAATTTCAATTAGAAGGTTTTACTTTATTAGTAAGGAAGTAGATGTAAAAGAATACTAATTAACTAATTAACTAGTATAATGAAAAATGTAACAATTAGTGGGAATACTAATTAACTAGTATAATGAAAAATGTAACAATGAATGTGAATACTAATTAACTAATTAACTAGTATAATGAAAAATGTAACAAAAATACTAATTAACTAATTAACTAGTATAATGAAAAATGTAACAATTAGTGGGAATACTAATTAACTAATCAAGTAATGTTAATACAAAATGTAAGTAATAAGACAAATGTATGAATGGTGTATAGTAATTAATGGGAGTAAATGAGTAATAGAATGATTTTAAGTGATATTAATTAAAGTGTAACTAATATATAATATATTGTTTATAGTATATGGAGATGAGTAGAGAGTAGGATTTAGAAAGAGTTGGAGAAGAGGTGTGAAAAAATGTTTAAAATTAGGAGTATTTGTAGGTTTTTTTTAACCCCCCACCCCCCACCCCCCAGAAGCCCCGGACCCCCTTGGTACCCACCCAACGGCTATATAGCCGTTTGGGAAGTGGGTCAACAGCCAAAAGGCTTTTTACAAAAAAAATGGATTTTTTTTTAAATTTAGCTGTTAGGCCTGGACCCAGACCCGGACCCGACCCGGCCGGGCCGGGTCGCCAAAATCAAGCCCCGAGCCCGGACCCCCCCCCCCCACCCGCCCTCACCGGTTCGGGCACTGAAACGGACCCGGACCCGAGAACCGGGCCGGTTCCGGGACCGCACAGTAGCGGGCCGGGCCGGTCCACAGGCCGGGCGGGCCGAACCGGGTCCAAGACTATGCTAGAGGAAGAGATGCGAGATCAAAGAATGAAATTATCTTTCTTATCAGCTGTTGCCTATAGCGGTATAGCCCATGCCTCTTTTGATAAAGCATTGTTTCTGGTGACAGGCTGACAGCATGGCATTATGCCTCCACTAACGGGCATTATGCCTCCACAATTGCCTAAGACAAAAAAAAACATATTTGGCCTATCCAGAAAATACTATTATCAAAATATATTTTGTATTTAAAAGCATAATTTATAGGAAAATTATAACAGTATTGGGAGTGCAAGTGTTGGATTTGGTTTGTGAGGCAAGGCGACAGTAAACACTCTTCTACCTTTATATTATGTATACCATTTGGGC